GAGATGGCAAAGGGCCACCACCAAAGGGGGTGGTGCCCCTCTCAACCAACATATTTCTAACAGCAGCCAAGTTTTTTCCTGGGGAAAATGCCTGCAATTTGCTCCAGAGTGCTGCCTAGGAACAGGATGGGTCTTATTGCAAGCCACTACATTGCAGGGAAGCATCCCTTCCCGTTCTGCCCATGCCCCGCAGCTCTGTATGGGGGGACTGCTGGGGCTGGGGAGGGTCCCAAGCCCAGCTGGGGTCAGGGATAGCATCCTAGGTGTGGCTCCTCTGCCCAGGCACGGGCTGCTGAGCACGGACAGAGAAAGGCTTGTGTGTCTCGGGGCAGGACAGCACCCTGCAGGGGGTTTTGTCCTGATCATGGCATCTCCTGGGATGCTGTATGGAGCAGCTCGCCCTGATGATGAGAGGTTACAGCCCTGAGACAGCCGAGCGCTGCCTATGAGTGCGGTGTGAGTTGGTAGAATGCAGGTGTGTGACAGGCAGCAGTGTGCGGGGCAGAGGTGTAGGAGCAGAGTGTAGAGCATGGTGCACAGACCATGCAACGGGCAGCGCCGGGGTGCGTGACCATGGAGCCATGGGAGGAGTGGGGAGAGGAGTTAGGGGGTGAATGCTGGGTGCCAGAGCCACAGATGCCAAACAAACCAGTTATGACACCAAGGTCACTTGTCTAGCAGGGTGTGCGATAGCTTTTCATGGCTTGGGAGCAGAGCAACGCCCCCCGCAGCTTTGTGCAGGGTGGGCACCACGATGGTTGGCACAGGGCTCCCCCTGGATCTGTCACAGTGACAGGCTGTCACTTTGTCTGGTGGCTGTGGCAGAACTTGGCGCCTGTCAGTCATCGCATGCAAACCAACCCCCAAATGAGGAAGCACTTAGCGTCCGTGGTGGGTGCTGGAGCACAGTGTGGGGTGGATGGAGAAGTCCTGATGGCAGAGGCAAGGGAGCAGCCCAGCCCCGTACCTTGCTGGCATTGCACTCCAGGTAGGACCCATGCCGGGCACCGGGGCGCTGGGGGCTGGGCTGGCCATGCCACGGGGTGGCAGTTCCCCCCCACGCTGCATGATTCTCCCAGAGCCTGGGGCCAGTGCTGGAGGGTCCTTGGTTTGGGAATGGGCTCTGTAGCCCCGATGCAATTGAAGAGCAGCTCCAGGTTTGAACAGGATGCCAAAAGTGCGGTGTGCCGACTGCACAGGCTCGTCTCCCTTGAGCAGCAACAAGCCCTGGCTACACTGCATGGCCTGGGAGCAGGTCAGGGTGATGCAATGGTGGAGAGGAGTGTGAGCAAGATCTGTGGGGTGGGGAGGGGGCAGAAGAAAGGGACACGGTGCCCAGGGGCTGCCAGCCACCCTCCATCCCTGCAGCACAGTGAGAGGCACAAGAGGAATAGAATCTGCAGAGCTGAGCACCAGAAATGCCTATAAATACCCGCAGACCTTTGGTGCTGGTGGCAGGGACAGCCTGACATGGGCACAGCAGAGGGCTGGGGCGCAGCACAGAGCTGTAGCCTGGGGAGGCTGAGAACCTGCCTGGCAACACCATGGCCCAGACTGAGTGCTGGCCCATGGAAGGCAGGGGTGGCTCTGCCGTGCTCCCAGGCATTCACCATGTCCTTAGCAGGGGGAAGGGGCAGTCTGAGGGCTGAGTGGGGCAGCTCAGTGGTGGCACTACCCTCTTTTGCACCAGTGTTACCCTCAGCTGGAAGCACATGGCAGTGCCAGCATCATTACCAGGCTCAACCCCATGGCAACCCACTCAGCTGGAATGTTTGCTCCTCTGGTGTGGTTTCAGAAGGGTCTCAGGCCTTTGTAGGTCCCAGCCAAGGCACCTAAGACACAGGAGCCTGTGCCACAGCCTGGAGGGAGTGCAAAGTCCTTGCAGCCCTGCCAGTGCCCATGGCATGGCTGCGCACACCGGGCAGGCAGAGCCAGCATGTGGGCTTGGATGGGCTCTGCTGGCAGCAGCACAGGGCCTGGAGGCAACGATGCTCATGACAGCCAAGGGGGTGGGAGCATGGCCGGGGGTCCCTGGAGGAGGTGCAACCACCTGTGTCCCGGGCAGCTGCCTGCAAACCCAGCCAGTGCTCCTGCCCCATCCCACCAGCACATCCCTGCCCCACAGTCATCCTTTACAGCCAATGCCCTCCCGGTCGTGATGTCCGAGCCAGCACTGCCACAGGCAGCGGCAGCACTGACACCGAGCCAAGGTGTGCCTAGGGCTGATGTGCTCGGGAAGTTCATTTCATCAGAGAGGTGGCTGCCCAAGGCATCAGGCCAGGCCTTTGCACCATGATGTCTGGGCCTGAGGAAGGAGCAGGGTTGTGGGAAGGGGAGAGGAAGGGAGAGGGAGTCGTGGCAAGGTCACGGGGCTCGGCTTCGGGAAGGCCATGGGATGTGGTTACCCGCAGGCTGCATGCACAGCAGCGCCAGGGCGGGCAGAAGAGCACTCACCATGACCCCAGGGGACTGTTCCCTGTGTCTCAGGGATGCTGTGACCCACTCCTCTGAGCCCCCCCACTGTGTGGGATCGTGGTCCCTGCTCCAGCCCAAGGCTGGTTCGGGAGGAGTGATACAGCCACACACTCCCCTGGGAGCAGCCCCGGTGCTGGAGCTGGGGTCCTTACCCTTGGGTGGCACCCCTGGGTGGGTTTTCCTGTCCCCATGTGTGTGACAAGGCTGGTGCCAGGCACGTGGGCTGCCTCTTCCCTCCATACTCTGGCATTCCACAACCCGGGTGCCAAATCTGGTGGCGAAAACAGGAGCTGTCCTGGCCCCGCAAGGTGAAGGTGGGACTGGCAAGTCCCCGGCAGTGCTGATAACGGGGTACAGCTCCCCTGGCATGCCCTGAGGCTTGTCACCCCTTCTCTGGGAAGGTCCCTTCACACCGGTCACTCTGTCTCCACTTGACCCTCCAGATATCTTCAACAGCCACCGGCCACCACCACCACAGATGCAACTGGTCTACCAGGAGCCACCCTGCTTTGTGCCCATGGCCGAGCCCCGGTTCAGCGAGAGGGAGTCCCTGATGCACATGCAGGGGCTGCCTGCTGGCCCCGAGGCCCCGCTCTCACCCAGCACCCTCCCCCAGGTGAGCGGGATCCCAGCCCACGGCACGCAGCTGCTGGTTCCCCAGCCATCCCCCCTGACCCTTCTGTGTCTCCCGCAGCCTGGCGGTGCCTCCCAGCTTGGCCTCCACAGAGCCTTCCTGTGCCCCGAGCTCCCCTCG